ATAAAAAGTCCAAGAAATAGCTGAACTTCCTGGCTATTCTCTTCGTAAATTAATGAAGAATTAACTAAATATCTAAGCTGCTGATGGAATTTCTCTGAGCTGCTCAGAAAGAATGGGCCCTCAAGGATATTCAGCCTCAGCTTCTGGAAGTTTAATGGGTTGTGGCATAGAAATTTTTTCTTAGTAATGCTGGGAAACCACAACTGCTATTTGTCTGCCATTATAACTTACCCTTTCATGTAATGGATTGGCTGCAAATCAAGTTYTCTTGGTTCCCAGTTCTCAGGCTCCTGGGTTTGGGTACAAGGCTTTGTCAGTGGTAACCCCACTGTTAGGTCTGCAGAGCACTTATTAACTCTCTCCAGTGGCCATCACAGCGTCTGGGAAACAGCTGCAGGTACACCAGAAACCCTGAGTTTGTACACTCACCTTTTTCTCTTTGACCACATGCCATATACAGGACAGAATCAGCCACATGTAAAGTTAATGCTCTAAGATTATTGTATCAATTACAACATAACCTTGCACTCCAGTTGTGCTTTCAGGAAAATGTAGCTCCTAGATTGTAACCTTTATTATTATTCTTATTTTCTGAAACGTCAAAACCTGCATATAATCTTTGTATGCAGCCTAGCAGTGTGAGATCAGAAGCATAAATAGGAAGGGGCATATTGCATATTTAAATAATGTAGGAAAGCAGCAGCAGTATGGGCAGGTCTCCAGACACCCTCCCCTTCTTTGTTTAATCTGCGACCTGTGCTACCTGCACATTCTGTTTCTCTTTCTAGCAAGCACACAAAATGAATTTGCCTGTATGGGTGACACCAGATGTCATGACTCAACTGAAGCAATTAAAAGACTTYGGCTTTGAGTTTCTGTTTGGAATCCACAACCGGGTAGAAAAAGCTCGTCTGCAAGGCGGTGAGTGCATCGGGGAGGGAGCCTCCTGCTGCTCTGTGGCTTTTCCCTTTTACTGGTTGTTCTCTTTTCTCAGGAGTCCTGCTAGATCACATAAGGAAGAACCTAACCAAAGCAGCAAATGTTTCTGCCCATCAGAATCTGAAACTGCTTGCCTATTCAGCGGTAAGTCAGAGCTGGGGCTAGCTTTTAGCCATCTCCTCCTGCTTACAGGGAATTGGGGCTTGGTGATAGCTTTAACCCTTTCTAGCTTTCCTACAGCCCATGCAGTGATCAGAACATGCATCTTTGCCTCTGACTGGGTGGGATATGCAGATATCTGGCATTGTTCCTCTGGGATCCCTGAGGAAAATTCTCTATGTGTCTCTGTTCCTGTTAGCTCAGGTTCATGAATGAGACTGGCAGCCTTTGGGGAGCCACTGCTCTATTTATTTGGTAGATGGGTTCACACTACTTAAATGTGATGTTTCTGAAACGTGGATACAGTTATCTCCCTTTTCCAGGAGCCTACTGCCTGGAAGGTCAAGCATCTTTACCAAATTGCTCTCTAGAGGTTAATTCTCAAAAAACAGTGCAGGATATATATGGCTGTTTCACTTCCTCCCCTTATCTGGCACCATCACAGATCACTGTTCTAGCAGTACAGTTTCTCTCCCATTTTCCAGATGGAAGTTACAAAGGTGATGTCCCCTCAGCACTGCCTTGTCCGTTACTGGTACAGTCTGAGCTGCCCTGCCACATCCCTAAGGGTGACTGATTTGGTTTTTTTCCCTCTTTCTCAGCATGACACCACACTTGTGGCACTGCAGATGGCTCTAGATGTCTACAACAAGAACCAAGCACCATACGCCTCATGTCATTTATTTGAACTGTACCAAGAGGATGATGGGTGAGGGCTGCAGTAAAGATGTCTGCTGTGATTTCACCTCGAGGGTTAGATGCCTAGGCTAGGCTCCATTCTTGGGGCGTGCAATCTTGCTCCTAGTGGCAGACTCTCATCAGGAAAACTGACACCAGAATAAAGGAAAGAGTGTGCACACTGAGTTTTTGGGAAGGGATGACTTCAACTAGAGAAAAAAAACAACCCAAAATATCTTGCTGTGTTTTGTTTTCAGTAATTTCTCCGTGGAGATGTTTTACCGGAATGAGAGTGGGAAGGAACCTTTCCCATTGACAATCCCTGGCTGTCAGCATAAATGCCCATTGCAAAGATTCTTGGAACTCACAGATCCTGTTGTTSCCCAGGACTGGGAGCAAGAATGCAAGGTAGCAAGCAGCATGCACGACACAGGTGAGCGCAGGCTTGACTAGAGTGTGGCACAAGGGGAAAGTTTGGACGATACCATGCTGACCACTTATTTTCTCCTTACAGAACTCTTTGTGGGTTTGGCTGTATGTGGATCCATTCTCCTTCTCCTTATAATTCTCCTCTTGACTGTACTCTTTCGCATACAGTCTCAGCCCCCTGGCTACCGGCACGTTTCCAATGAAGGAGAAGAGCAGGCCTGACAGTTGCTTCAACTCCTTCCCAGGCAGTAGGAGGGAGCTGTGTTGCCCCTAAGGATGATTGGGCACCTTCAATTACTCAGCACTCTTCTATTTTGGCCTTTGCTTCCCAGAACAAAGCTGGATTTGATTTCTGGATGCTTTCTAAAGGTGACATCCTTTAGAAAGAGCTGAGAAAGAATTGTGCTACTCTAAGGAAATGACACCTTAATTTTGAAGCCAATATACTGTGTGGTGCCCCTGGTCCTCATCCAGCTTACCCAGTCTGGGATTCCCAACATGGCCAGTTTCAATTTTTCCTCCTTTCACGTGACTGTAAACATTACCAACTCACCATGACTCACCATGTGGCAGAGAAGTTTGGGCCTCCAACAGCTGCCACATCCAGTWGCATTTTTTAGGGTCAACCTACTTTGAGTGCTTTTCCCTCACACCATAGGGCTGCTGATAGTGGGAAGGCTGGGCTTGAGCTCACCAACAATGCACCAAGACTCATCTACTGTCCATGCAGAGGGAGCTGTTGTGGATGATGGGAGACACATAAAGTGCTTCTTGAAGTTGTTAAGTAGTTGCTGCTAGCTACTGTTTTTTTCCCTCTCCTCACATTGTGGTTCAAGAGAGAACTGGATTGAGATCAGGRCAAGATTGAAAACCTAGCAGTTTCCTGTCAATCCTAGGATTTGGCTCAAAGTAGAATCATAGAACCCAAGGACTCTCGAAGAGCTTTACGAGAGCAGTTCCTGTGACCGTAACAAACTCACACTCAATTTCTTGTGCAATGTTGGCTCTAGAAAGGAAAGTCCCCCTAGATAAGAAACTTGGTTTCTGTCTRAAGATGCCAAGTTTGAACTTTACTTCCCCCATCCATAATAGGAACTTCAAAGACCTATTAAAGGGAGTATCCAGTACTGCAGACAGTCCAGATATCAGCCCAAGGAATACACTTTAGTAGCAGAGTGTTTTTATGCTGTAATTAAGGAATGTAGCAGAGCTGTTTCCTAGGACTTGATCAATACCRAATTCTATAGTTTTTCTTCCTATCTTCTCTCCTGGATGGASAAGCAAACATTAAGGATTAGAGTTKGCAGGTGACTGTGGATTCCTTTATTTGTCACACTTGGGCATTTTGTACCAAGTGTGATTCTTCTGCCAGGCTGGCCTCTCTGCGCACTGCAGCTGCTGCAGGGATGTTCATGCCAAGTGCTCACCACCTGCCTTGTAGTTTTTGGCAGAAAATGAGAGACTGCAGCAGGCACCAGAAGACAAGACTCCTCACATAGTGATACTGCACATTCACTTCCTGCTTTTACTTCCCTTTCTGGTGCAGTTCCCTTCCCCTCTTGGATACAGAAGCCAGTTCTTAGGTTACAAACATTTCCTTTTGTTCCCCCTAAGGAGTACTGTGGGGACTTTTCCCCACACCATAATCAGCATCTGCCAGCATGGGAACCCTAAATCAGCAGAAGCAGCTTGCTGTTCTCAGCATCTTCCTCACCTTTTTGTCCTCTGAAGATACAGACTTGGTCTCCTGCACAGCAAGACAGTCATAAAGAAAAAGCTACTGCCTGTGAGAACAGGCACAAGAAAGAGGTAATAGAAAGTGCATTTAAGAGGACCAGACCTGTTAYTTTTAAAGGCACCAAATTTTGCACACACGCAGAAAAGGTTTCTATGATGATTTAGACATTTTGACTGTGAATGAATTTCTGTACTTGTTCCAATACATTTCATTATTAAAATCAATTTCACACTGAGCTCTACTCCTTTTTTTTCCTCTTAAGAGTTCACAGGGCTAGCACTGGTGCGCTCAGTGTAGGAAAGCAGGCAGAACCTACTGCAGCATTCCCCCTCCTAAAGGAATTCTCTGTTTCATAATCCCACATATTTAGCACAGGGAGATTTGAGATAACCTTTGTTTTTGACTGCAGCAGCTATGAATAGATACGGCTCATAATGCATCCTGTCCAGCTTGGAGGGCTCCACTGCAGACCCAGTATTATGACTGGTACCTGTACCACTGTTGTAGATCTCAGCCCTCCTGCAGAAAGGTCTCAAACTTCTCCCCTACAAAAGCAGTTCAGCAGCATCCTCAAAGCAGCCACTCTCTCTATCAAAGAATTTTAGTTTAGTACAAAATTTTATTGATATTAATATTGCAAAACTATAAAAGTGAACATGGAGAAGCTGCACAGGCCTGGAGCCCATCCCATCCATCAACATCTGGGACAGCAGCAAGACTCTGGGCAGGCTTGTAAACAAACTAGAAAAAGCAAAACTTAACTGTTTAAAAACAGTCTTGAGATTTGGCTCTGAGCAGGGGAAATTGGAAGAAATCCCTCATTTCTGCTTTATAACACTTACCCAACATTCTGAAGCACATAGGCATGGGTGAAAAAAATTACCTAATCATTGGCAAGAAACAGCCTAGAACTCTGTAAATAGAAACTACAACATCAGTAGGTGCCCAGCTCCATAGTGCCCTTGCATCCCATGAGGTACGTAGAAACCTCTGGCATCATGTTCTTTTTGGTCCATCTGCAAGCAGAGAACAGGCTGAGCCTGATGTCTTGACAGACATTTTCCAAGCTTGCACATAGGAGAGCCTGGTGTTTCCTAGGCTACCCAAGCCATCCATCACTTCACCCCTGTGAASATTCTATCTTTTCAGGATGTTAATCCTGTTAGCAAATGGTTTCTCAACTTGGTTGGACTAGAACAGGCTGGGGACCCTGTCATGAGTTGCTCCACTGCAGACTACAGGAAATGGTAACCTCTGACAAGTGATGACAAGCAAATATGAAAGCAGTAACTTCAGCAGGATCTCGGAACATCTGTGAAGTTTTCCTAGTGCCTCAGAAAATGAGTAGTAACTCCASTTGGAGGAACCAAGTACTGACACAACTTTCTAAAAGGAGAGGCAAAAAGGATCAGGGAAGCAAGATCAGATATGGAAAGGAAGGACAAAGTCTAATTCCCTGCATGGCTTATACTGCCCATTGCCAACGACTGAGTTTATACCCTGGGATTCAGAAAGGATCAAAATACTAAACCAGTTCTCTAGATCCTCCCCTTTTCACTTTCTTCCCTGGGATTCAGAATCAYTGTTTTTTGTTTTCATCTCCTCCAGCTCCCCACACAGTAACTTAGTTTTTGAGTTTGCCTATGCCAGGGTTTGCCTGCCTCTGCCCTCCATATGTGGGTGAACTCCATCTTCCAATCTCCTGTTCTCTCATGGTTCAATCTCCTTGTCTGTCATGGCTTTCAGAAGGTGTTCATGCTTCCTGGCCGCCATCTCCTCCTGGTTCCAGATCAGAATATTAAAGCCTGAGAAGAAAAATTAAATGCTCTCTATCAGAAACTCTACATCAGTAATCCTARAATCTTAGGCTATGTCACTTAAGTGCCAGAAATTCAAAAGGCTTTTTATGTGCTAAGGTATTTCTAAAGTATAGARCATGCAAAAATAGTTATTGCAGATGTTCTCCACATACCCAGGAAAATCTGATTTAACTAAGAAATATAAGTAATTTCTAGTCTCATCTGTCAGAGGTCTRAGACCTAAATCTATAACCAGCTAACTTAATCCCACATAGCCTGCAAAAAACTGACTAATCTTGGCTCKGCAGCCTAGGAAATGAGATAAATTAAATGAAGGGAAATGGTATAGCCTAGCAGGAAAAGGCTTTCCCCCCTCCATTGTTTTCTTCTACTGTTTCATGGCCGGCAGGTGGCAGCAGCTCCCAGCTGCTGGGAGGCTTCCCACTACAGATTTGATGCTCTCAGGAATGTTGCACGCGAGATCCCTACCAAACTGCTTTCCAAGTGCAAAGATGTAAGACTGAAAGTAAAGTCTTGCTCTCTTTCACAGATGTAGGAAGTCGTAAAGGGCTACTAGCAAGTGGGATTTGGAAGACCCTCTCTCACAACTTGCTTTAATCTGGAGTAAGAAGCCAGCCCTTTTCTGGGACTAGAACCCCATGTTTAGTGCCCCCGGTTCTCTTTACTTACCCATGCCAGAAGCCAGTGTGTCTCCCATAGGGTTAAATTTGTTGAGCTGAAAATGAAAACACAGTTTAAGAACATCACTGCTTATGTAACAGTCATAAGAGTACCACAGCTTATGTAACAGCAACAAACCATCTGGAAAAAAACCAGTGTTCCCTAAGAGTATCACAAAAACCTCACAGAGAACCATGGACTAGCCCTGCTTAAGTCARTCGTTTTAGTTGGCAGCCATATCCCATGACAGTGTAAGTCTGTCACAAGTAAGCTGGAATGGTCCCAGCCCCTAAGCTGTGCCTCTTTCACAGAGATAGCAGTGTTATTGACAGCCCTTTCAGCTGTAGTGCACAACTCACCGAGATGATCCCAGAAGCATTTGGATCGTAGAGCTGACAAACCATCTCACCGGTGCTCCCATCGAACACATCTACAGTTCGTAGCTCGTTCAGTGTGTACCCGGGGAACTTGGGGTCTGGGTAACGACCTACGACAATGAGGTCATAGCGAGGATGCCACGTTGCCTAACACAGAGCAGAGTAATGGGGAGCTTAGGGAAAGGAACAGAGCTCAGYACTCACACACACCAGACAACTGACACTGCGAGCAACTCTTGSTATATCCCACCCAGAGCTTCAGGAACAGTGCTCCACTGGGAGTTGCAGAGGGTAAATATCCTCCCACCAATGCAGTATCTTGACCAGAAATCAGACCATTTCTGATTTGCAGATGGCTGCTAGCACCAAGCATTGATGCTCCTTTTAGACTTAACTCACCTTAATAGGTGTGAGATGCTGAAACTGCCTATGTGGATGTGGAATCAGATGCTCTGGCTTGGTCCAGTCTGAAGATGAGTAAACCCTGATTTCATTGTGCTGGTCAGTGCTCAGGAGCTTGGCACCATGTGTTGGGCTGAAGTAAGCTAGGCGAGTGGGACAATAAGGCAAACTAAAGATCACAGTGCTGTGACTGACAAGAAACACAAGTGTCACATTTCGCTGACTGAAAATCCATTATTGTTTCTTTAATTGGGATGTGATTATGGCTGTGTGTCCCAACAGGCAAGACTTTGACAAGAAAAGACTACCTGTCTCAAACAAACTCAAAACTCCTACAAAAAGTAAGCTGAAACCTGAAGTGCTGGGTTAGCTAAGAAGAATATTTTTCCAATTTCAGATTCACAGAAGGAAACATTAGAAAGAAAKGAATGTACTCATTCAAATGGAAAGAGAGTGGATTAATGAGATGGACATCTGCAATTTGGACCTCCATCAACTGGTAAAATTTCACTCAAGATACAGAAGTTTGAGTTCCATTCTCTACTTCTGTCAACGGGATTGCCCCARTAAATTCAATTTTCTAATCTCAGCCACTGCTGCTTCCAAACTCATTTCTAAGGTACAGTGCCACAGTTTGTAGGGCAAGTCTTCTTAAGACTAGCCTAGCCACCTCCCTGCCTCTGGCCACACATTCCCATAGCTTCCTTACTTTAATTACCATGCCACTTGGAATCTGAGCAAAACCACCATAATAAAAGCTGAGCTGAGCGGACTGTGCAGACATCTATGCAATGAAATCCTTAACTCACCTGCATTAACAGGTTTCTCATGCGGAAGCACATGAAGAAAGTTTGTTTTGTTTTTKATGTTTCTGAGGTCCCAGATTTTGACTGTGTGATCCACAGATGCTGTGGCAAACATCCACTCACATTGGGAGTTAAACTCTACATGAGTCACTTTCTTCCTGTGCAATTTCAGCTTCCAGATCTGCAGCAAACAGAAAATCATGCAGAAAAAAATAATAAAGATCTGGAGTAAAGAAATAAAAATATAATCTACTAGTGCAGAGTAAAGAGATCTCACATCTATAGAGCAATAAAACTTCTAAGACACACCAGGAGTTCATTCACTGCTAGCAAGAAAGGAAAAAATAATGGCCTTGGGAAATAACTTCTAAATCCTAGAAGAATTGTGATCCACCCATTTATTACAGCTATGAGAAAGGAAAACACAAACCCTGGCTTTCATGGAGTAAAGTATTAGTACCTCTATACAAAAAAAGATCACATCTGGAAGACTTTGAGCAGTGCCAGCCTTTCACTTGCAGAAAGATTTAAACCAATTGGAACACACAGAGAAAATATGCTGCCAAGATAATGAGAAGGAAAGAACTGCTTTGTGTGGAAGACCAAAAAACCTTGCTTTGTTTATCTTAGTTTAAAAAGGTGCTTCTACAAACATGTCAGCAAAGAAACATGAGGGTAGGACAAGTATTTCAAATAACAACAGCAAATTAGCACAAAGCAGTCATGAATAAATTTCTACTCAAAGCCAGAAGATTAATCTAAATGCTAAAGCCTGCCCATCCTCCCTAGAATAATGGATATCTCCCAACTGCAGGGAAGTTTATAATAGATATCTCCCAACTTCCTATTCTTTTAGGGGGAAAAAAATGGAAGTAAGCAACTAACCCTGAGTAAGGATAAGCCACTTGGAGCACTCCTGACTCTACCTGCTACTTTACACAGCTGCCTCTGGCCACAGSTCGTTGGGTGGCAACCTTTTAAGGGTGGTACCTTTTAAGGTACAGATTTTACCCTTATGTACRGGAGAGACGGCAGTGCCAGTGTGACAGTACAGCAGGCTCTTGCAGCAAGACCCACGCCAGCTATTCTCTCCTGGTTCTGTACTACTCCAGATTCATAGWCTGTCTCTGCCTGCCCTCTCGTGTCCAACGGCAGAAGTGCAATTTCCATCCCAATATTCACTGCTTGCTTAACCCCAGGTCGTGGTAGGGTGTGCAGCAAAGCAGTACCTCCCTCCTAAATGACTCCTAAGTTACTGGAACAGCACTAAGTTTCTGGAAGTGTGAGGGTTGTTGGCAAGGTGCTCACATCTTCAGGTTACCCGGTAATTACTCTGGCTAGCAGCAAATACTCTTAAGAAAGGGGTAGCACAGTAAGAAGTGCACCAATAATTCCTTGTTTAGCAATTATTATCACTGCATTCAACAATGTGAAAATGTCTACTGGATGGCAGAAGTGGAGGACTTCTCACCACCCAATGAGTGGACTCATCTCCTAAGCTGCGAATCACTTGCTCCTCTTTTCAGACTCCATGTAGAGCAGGAAAGTGCATGAGCAATGAAGATTCCCATAGACGAGATGCTACATGGAGCCATACAAACCTCTTCACCAGAAGTGCTGAGCAGGACCACATTGCCGACATTATCACCTGTCACCACTGCACGGCAGTTTGCAGAAACATCCACACTGCAGTACCAGCAACTAGAGGGAAAGACACAAATCAGCRTTCTTCCTACAGAAAACTGAAGGCTGTGGAGTTCTGGCTCATATCATGTCCCTGACAAGGGAGACTGCAACAGATTGTAACTGCAATCTCCTGTCTGATGGTGTGGGCCTGAGTATCAGGAAGAAGGACAGCTTATCAGCAATGCTTTCTGTTGGTGACTGAATGTGAAATGACTTCAGAGTCATTGGAAATGACTTATTAGATGGAATGTAACAAATTGCAACAGTAAAACGTAACAGAAGCTGAAGAACTACTTGGTGCCAGCATATGAACATACCTTGGGAAAGATCAGAATATCCTTGRGACATCAACAGATGTGGAGCTTTAAAGTTATATCTTCCACAAAACACTGAAGAAGCAGTAAAGACAAAAGCTTTGGACTGAAAAGTTGCACATCAAACTCTCTCAACGCTCCAGGAAACAAAACCGAGTAGAAACTTATCTGATAAAGACATACACCTTAATGCCAGCTCTCCTGGGAGGAGAAGGGCRGTGAGAATAAAACTGAGGTCCTTTGGGAACTTGTTACAAAAGCTCCACTTGCAAGATAAATTATTCTTAGAATTCAARGCCATGGAAATTAACAAGGTGAGCCTGAAGTCTGCAGAAGGGCCACAGGGTAAACTCAATGACCTTAAGCTCGGATTGTACAGGAATGCTGTGTAGCTTTCCTTGTGCCACCTGAGCTGCTACAGATAAAACAGACCACTGATAACAATGAAAAGGGGGAAATTACCCTGCTCACATTGCATGAAGTGAAAAGCTGTCAGTATCTGCAAGATAGGAGATGGCATCACCAGAAAGCAACACAGGAAGATGCAGACAGCACGCTCAGCTACTGTAAAAGCCGACGTGCCCTGTAGCTGCCTAGCAACCAGGACCCTGTCTCCAAACTCTCTCATGGGACCTATTCATACCAAGAGTCTCCAAACACTGGCAGAGATGAAGATGTTACAGATCTAAACACRCAGCACAGCATTAACCCCAAGGAACAGAAAATTAACTTTGCAGTGCCCTTTTCTCACCAAACATTATGATGCTCATGGCCACAGTCCAGGGCATGAGAGATCACCTGCATGGCTCTGCCCTCAAGATCCTGCAGACTTAGGGTGCCATCACCTGATGCCACATAAAGCTTCTCTGCCTCATAAGGACTGAATTTCATGTCTCCGAGAGAATCTCCTGGCCCTTTCTGAAATACACACAAAGCCAAGAGACATCAAGGTTAGAGCAGAAGTCAAAATCTTAATTCACAGGTCACYGCCTGGAACACCCTGCCAGTTTCCCTAGGTAAAAGCACTGCTTTCTGGCAGAAAGCACTGCTTTCTGGTACATACACAAGATCTCTTCTTTTCTATCCTGTTTCAAATCTGAGCACATACATTCTGAGCCTTCAAGTTCACCCTCACCACTTTGGCCTGCAAAATTCATTAGCAGCAAGCAGTGCTGCTTTTTCTATGGAAGTAGGACTAATCTGCAGTGAACCACCCGGCTCACACCATGCTTAGGAGATCACAAGCAAAATGAGCACCATTCCMTGTGTAAACTACAAGAATCTCATCATAGTCCAGCACCAAGCTTTTCTTAGAGACTTCATTCACTAGCTCCTTACAGGCTGCTTCCAGTGCTGTATCTGGTCTTTCTCAAGGAACCACCAAGYAGGAGAAGCCAGGTGCAAATCTTACTGCTAACCCCGTAGCACAGGAATCTTATGTTCTACATTATGTTGTATTGTTATTATTGTTATTGCTGTTTTCCACCAGCCTGTCTCCCAAGGAAAAGTGTCAACCCTGCACAAAGACAGAAAAAAAAGAGAGCTAACYAGGAGTCCCCAAACTCTTTGGTACTCAAGGGCACTCCACCTGCTGCTTACAGAACAACTACTTGGTAAAGTCTCAYTGCAAATACTAGGTTTCAAGAGGCCAACGAAGATAAAAAAATGCCTGCCCACAGAGCCTGCCTGTCCTCACAGCAATACAAGGAGGATAGCATGCCCTTTCAAATCCAGGCATCCTTGTTGTGACAGGCATCCCACTGGGATACAAGATCCTCATGTCTCAGGACCCAGTTAATCTCTCCTTTCTCACCTGCCCAGTTATCCCAGCATGACTTAAGTTCACCTTCTGCCCTATTACAAGGTTGCAGRTGTACAGCCAAAATGAAAAGCAACCATGAAAGCTGCCACGCAGAGACAATAGGCGGGGAAAAGTAAAGTGGAAGCTAACTCCAATTCTCTCACTTACCTTCAATTACAAAACTGAAGTAACTAATTGAAGAGCTCAGGCTTTGTYATGAGTCCACAGAAAACCCAACAGTCTTGAGAAGGTAATTCTGAGAGCTGCTTCTAGCAATTCATGTCCTCTTTTTACTAAYTACTGAAGGAACCCAGACTCTTAATTCTGGTATTTTAGATAAGCACCAGAAGCTCAGTGGGATGAATTGGCATGACCCTAATGGCATGCACTGCTTCAAGTCAGTGGCATTTGTGGAGAAGCACAGAGGGAACCATGAATTGTACGTAAAAACCATCTGGCAACAAGCAGCATTGCTAGCAGGTGAAGAGGTTAGAAGATCCCCAGGACATAGAGCTTTGTGATGTGTTAGGAATRTACAGCTGAGGAAATCCATTGGACCCCCATTCTCTCATGTACAACAGGAAGTAAGCAGCACCAAAGAGGCCCTCCCCATTAGTGAAAAGCTCTTTCCTACTCACTGCCCCATTTCAGGGAAAAATAAAAAGAATGAGCCTCCCTGAAATTCAGATAAAGGACATGTATGTGGAGAAGAGGAAGCCCAGCTCTCACRTATTAGAGACAAACATATCTCTCTTTCTCTTGCTCTCTGTAGTGCTTCTGCCAGCAGGACACAGAGGCCCAAAGCATTACTGTATTCTTACTCCCAGTCCTCGGTGCTGGTGAAGACCCGGACAGTATGGCCATTAAAATCCTGCAGGGTGGTAGTGCCGGCAACTGACGCAGTGTACAGCTGGCTAGGGTTAAAAGGGTTAAACTTCATTGCTGTGATGGCCCCTCCAGCTCCCATCTACAAGGAAGGGGATGAACAAAAGAAAAATCCACTGAGTGATGGGGAAGGAGAAAAGTGTGCTCTGTAAGTCTGCAGTCACTGCTATGTCTTTAACAGTAACAGTGAAACACACCACAGGAAAGACAATCATGTCTCACACAGGATGGCTGTCTAAACCATGAGGTGCCCTCCTGGAAGACAAATCTGCAACTCCTTCAGTCCCCAGACAAGGTATTCCCTTGCTATCTGGCACCACACATTTACAGAAAGAGAAAGGTGACTCTGGAATTTCTGGAGGATGGACCTCTCAATGTATATCTATCTTAATTTAGAAAGGTGATAAAAGTTACATAGTCTTTGAACCCCTGTTGCAATGGGAATGGCTGAATATAGCAATGAGGGGGTATGCCAGCTGTACAAACTATTCATTCTACCTTTATTTCTCACATGAGATAAAGGAACCTTGTTTTTTCCCAAAGAATTCTCCATCTGGCACAATAAAAGGTGAGCAGAGAAAGAYTGAGACTTGAACCAGACAGACCCTCTCTGCCTACTTGTTTCTGGCATTCCTTTTCTTTTTCCACTGAGCACACAGCAAGTACTGCTTCATTATGAACTTAWTCACCATGCCTCAGTTCTCCCCAGTGCTACAACAGTCGGGGATTTGGGAACAGACATGCTGTTGCATCTCAGTCCCACCCCATAACCAGCTACTCTGAAATCTGAGACCCTTGTGTACTTCTCACAACCTCGGTTTTTATGTGCAGTATTTCATAGTACTCCAGTTTTCCCTCCCACCCATTCCTCACATGCAGATGCTTACCCCCTTTATGAAGCAGGTTTTAGCAAGTACTTCACAGTCCCAAAGGATGATGTCTCCACCTTTGGAACCAACAGCTAGTGTACTGGGGTGTGTTGGGTGCCATTCCAGGCATGTCACTCTTCTGTCAAAAGGACTTGCTCTTCGAAAGAGGCAGAATGAGGAAAGAGAACGCAGAAAAGCCAGCTGCAGTCTCTGTTAAAAAGGTAAAGAGAATTATGACTTTTGCAAGCATCCCTGAGATCCTCTGAAGGAGGAATGCTAACAATTTCTATTTGTCATTAGTATCAGGGGGTTCCCACAAAATTCTAAACAACAAAGCTCACCCAGGTGCTTCCCACCTATGGATACCACAAAAAATTAATTTTCAAATGAAAGGTGTACRGATATGCAAAACAGTAAAACATTACGGACTTGATAGCTATGTCTGTGAAGAGGAATAAAATTGACACTTAACCTGACAAGGTCAGCAGAGTGGATACAAGAACAGGATCAAAAAAGTCAGATCAGCATGTAAAATTACCACTGTGCAATACAATAACTCAACTGGTAGAGTAGGCAAGTTAAAAYATGATTCAAGGAAGTACAGAATTAACAGAGTACAAAAATTGACAGGGCTGGGTCAACCAAAGGAGAAAGCCATGTCAGCTCTTGAATTTAACAGGATAAAGAAACATAAAGGTGCACCAGACTTGGATCCATAAACATGGGGAACTTTAGGCCCCTTTAAAGTTCCTCTGCTTGTGTTGAAACCTTTTTATGTAGGGAGCTGAGATGTCCAATAGGTCCTAAAGGAGACACTCCTCACCTGCCTGAGCTGTGCCTGAATGGAGCCTCCCAGCATTTTCTGGTAGACATAATGAACAATGCTGCACCGCTTCTCCAGCTTAGAGGAAAGGACTTTCTTGTTTTTCATCACAAACCCACCTCCACTCCAACCTGCCAGGGAGGAAAAGAGTAAAACTTACTGATTAGCAACACCTGGCATGCTCATTCACTAAACAATATAGGAAGACATCTCCATTTGCTATTACATCCATGAAAAGCTTCAGCCACAAGATAAAAGCCTCTAAATAATTCTTACACAYCTAAGGTGCAGCAGCTTCTGCAATTACGGAGTCCAGTGCATCCCATAGCACACCAGAGCTTTGTGTACACTTCCTCTTGTTAAACCTTCCTTCTCTTTGCCAAAGATTTATCAAAGACAACAGGAAAGGACTAAAGCAATGCCACAGGTGGATGGCGCATCTCTTGGACAGCATACAATTTGAATGTCTCATACCCAAAACACAGTGCTGCTCTCCAAAGCCCTAGCAACTTGGAAATATGACATGGGAGGTGATAAGCCCCTGCATACAGCAAAGAAAGGTCAAATGTGTGATCAGCAGGAACACCTGAAAATTTCMCAAGAATGGCAACATGAGCTCCCACACAGTTCCTGAAATGCCTGCCTGTGAATGAGAATTTTCTGCCTGCTCATGCCGTAGCCCATAGTCTGCCCACAGCRCTGCCAGTTTTGTTTTTGATAATAGATTTGCTGACGCCTCACCGCCTGAAAACCTTTCTGTTCAGAGTGATTTTTGCTGAGAGCACAGCTTGTTTCTACATTTTGTTCATGTTCCAAGTTTTTATCTTCAGGGACCYTTACGTAAAAACTAGATCTGTTCAGTCCCATGTCTGTGATCTAATCATCCCCACACCAATGGTCTGTAACACCCCAGGGGATCTAAATATCAAATGYATTTCTTAAGAAAAATAAATGCTATTTTCATCTAAGGACATTTATTTAAAAAAACCTCAAAAACAGAAGACTGAAAACACATGGATCATTCTACATGATTAGAATCTAAATTAAATCTTTTTTCAATGCAATGCTGGAGAAATGCACAGGTGTTTACCTAAATTTCTTTGTTCACGTGCCAATATAGTGTGAACACTTGTCACATCTATTGAAATAGCTACAAATCTATTTATATTTTAATACCCTTTTTTCACTGAAGAATTAGAATCCACAGTTCCTTCTTCAGAGGTGACAGCAATTGAGGTATTTTTTTCAGATTCCATTTTACAGTGAAGGAAAAWTTATTAAGAAACAAAGCTTGGGCCCTTTTTAGAATCAGCAGAATGAAATAATTTTAAAAGGTGGTTTAATTGTAAGAAATAGAAACTGTACTATATAGAGTAGAAGAAAAAAAAATTTCCAAACACATTCAAACTGGAACACAGAATGGAAAAGCTCAAATATAAAGGTCTTCATCTTTTTAAGAAAGGGTTAAGGGAAAAATACGATTGGTCTCATTTTTCCAAAGTATCTTACAGGAATGGTAGATGCTTACCAAATATGAAGATCAGGCCATGAAGTTACAATAAAATCATGCAGCTAAATTAACTACAGAAAAWGAAGATGTTTTTAACTATGTACAATTATACACAGAACTCCTTTCAGAGCATTTTGCCTCCACAGTCAYGGTTCACACTGCTAATTTCTCCAGGTTTGGACTTTAGATGACACAATGGAAATGTGCAAAATCATGGAACTCCTGTTTCTTTGACTGTTGAAAACTTCAGTAATTTCTGGATCCTTAGGCCAAAACTGTATAGAAAATGTGTAGTATCTTCACACAAGGCCGCAACGCCAGTGAAGATAAATCACTAACAGAATGAAAGGTTTTATCTGGGAAAAGGAGGCTGAGGGGAGACCATATCACTCTCTACAACTACCTGAAAGGAGGCTGTAGGAAGAGGGAGGTCGGCCTCTTCTCCCAAGTAACAAGTGATAGGAAGGAGGAAAGGATCTCTAGTTGCACCAGGAGACGTTTAGATTGGCTACTATGAAAAATTTCTTCACTGAAGGAGTTGTCAGGCATTGGAACAGGCTGCTCAGAGAAGTGGATGAGTCTCCATCTCTAAAGATATTTCAAAGATGTGTAGATCTGGCACATAGATACATGGTTTAATGGTGGACTTGGCAGTGCTGGGTTAACAACTGGACTCTATGATTTTAAAGATCTCTTCCAACCTAAATGATTCTATGAACTTGCTGTAGGAAAAGTCTAGACAACTTCTTTGATAATGCAAAGCATTAAACTTTCCATTATATTTGAAATTACGAATACATTACATCAAAAATCTTTAAGACTTTTTTTTACCCAAGTTACACACTAAAGAAAAAAATGCACGAGAAGTAATTTGAGGAAATTCTGYCCATTCTAATCTGAACAGAGGTAGAAAGTATTCCTAGTTACTGCAGCAAAAGTTAGAACTTTCAAAGAATAGGGTGGAAATACCAGTTTAGATTGGATGTTTTAGGACACCAGCATTATGACTACCAACTGCATTTGGAAATGCATGAGAGATAATGCATTACACATATTGGTCTATGCTACACTAAAGCAAAGATCTGGTAATACAGGAATTCTAACAAACCACCCTCAAATGAGCTGTAACAGCATCCTTACTGCTTCAGCCTTTTACCAAGGGATATGGAGTCCAAAAATTAAACATGCATGCATGCACACACACTCACTTTGATGGAAACTTGGAGGATGTACTACSCCAATACAAGTCTGCCTATTACTTCAACATCTAACCCCATCTGAACATCCATGTCTGAACATGCTTCTTGGCATTTTCCCTCTTCAACTAGTCAATGCCTGTCATTTACACAAAATCTGGTAGGGAGAAARAGTAAGGATTTGAGGAAATGTTACCAGTTTTCCCTGGGGGCTTAGATGTTTTTTTCACAAACAATCTCTTCTCTTGTTTCTCATTCCCTCGTTCCTCATAGTCCCGTTTCCTCTTCCCAGCTGATTTTGCCTCTTCCGGCCAATGCTGACATGCCCTCTCACGCTTCTTGTCCTTTGGCTGGTTCACTGGAGCCATTCTGTCTGACCACTGAAATCAAACAAAGCATGGAAGGTACGACTGTCATACACCTTTAGCCAGAGGACAGAGAGGAAAAGTGGAATGAAACATATCCCAGTAGTCTGAAGGTAGTGATTAGACCTGTATCCTCTTTCATTGGCATGACACTGACTTYTGTTGCTATCTGCTGAAGAGAGGAACAGGTTCAATAAAATATTCTTTCTTCACACATAACAATTAATGTATCCTAAAGCACCAGAGTATGTTTTGACAGATTTGCTTCTACCAGACGTTTAAGCCTGAAACACACAGATCTGCATAAAGTACACCTGTGAAAGTTCGTAATACCCTAACTTTCTCTGGTAGCTCACACTGCGCTCTTTAGAATCAGCTAAGTGAAAGGTCAGAGTTTTGATGAGGATGGCCATGGCTGACTGCTCTTGTAACAAATGGGTTCAGAAGACACTTCCTGCACAATGGCCAGTTTTCCTCACAACCACTATATGGTATTTGGATTGGGCTTCTGCACCGCCTGGCAACCACACCTGAACTACTCCTCTGACTGACGGTGGGATTCAGCCACTCCTGGCCGGTGTTGTGACGGCCACGACGCCACCAGGCCCCGAAGAAAAGCGTGGGCCTCCCACGGCCTTCTCTGCAGCCGGCGGGCGGTGCGTCACACGCCATCCGCAGCTGAAGATCCTGCCCGCAGCGCATCCCCCGGCTAACACTGTGCTCACGCTGAGCTTATTTAGAATTCCTGCATGGCTGCCACGGCTATCTGCCCGTGTTAAACACAGCTCGGCGGGCACCGCGCAGRCTTTTCCCCAGGCAGCGCCCCTCACCCGACTCCTCCAGGCTTCGCCCGGCCCCGGGGGCCGCCCCTCAACCCCCAGCCCGGCGCCCCCGCGGCCAGGGCGGAAGGGACACCCTGCTCTCACCTGCGCTCCGCGGCCTCGGCTCCCCCGGCTCTGCCGCGGCCGGCGGGCGGCACTGGCCCCTCCCCCGCGGTTTCATAACCGGGGCGGGAACGGGGGGCCAGCGGCTCCGGCCCGGCCCCACGGAGCGGCACCGAGCTCGCCGGCCRTGGTGGTCCGCGCCACCCTTCGCCGCAGAGGGGCACCGGCATCGGCAGGGGGAGGCCGGGAGGGCTCGGCGTGGTTTTCCAGCCCCTGCCTKCCTCTACCGCCGTTACCCCTGCTGGCCTCCGCAGCCATCAGCATGAGCAGCACCTCCGGTTCCCCTGGAGCGGGCGGCGGCTGGGAGGGTCACGCTGCCCTGAAACGCGCGATCCGCCTGCGAGTGGCCTTTGTCTGCCTGTTGTTTATTTGGTGCAGCACTTCAAATCATACGCGCCTCATTAATTTCTAGAGCACTACATTGGCCTAATAAAGCGGTTTGATAAGGGCCTCAAATATGGCAACCAAAAAAAAAATTTTCAAAACACCATTTCCACAAGAAAATGCACCTGGTGTTGAAACTGAACAACAGGCTCTTCAAAAGCTGATAACAAAAGTCTCCTCAAGAGCAGCTCAGATAGTACCAGATCCTACATGACGAAGCTGACAAGAATTGGGAAGGAAGAGCTCTAGGACCACAGAGGGAGGTACCAACACTTCCCCCCCGCGCACCTGAAAAGGAGACTGCTGTATGCCTGCCATATGTGGGGAACTTTATCCCTTTTCTCTGGAGCATTTGGGTCCCMTGCTTCTGGCCTACCAGTAACTATGGTGAGTAATTAAGGTACAGTCATCCAGGTGGCTACGAACACAGGTCCTAAAACGGCTATATTCTAGGCATGAATAGTCATGTCTTCTGTAGGGTTTGGTGYTATATTTTTTGCACTACAAACTATAGTTACCTACGCATTTTCTCACTAATACTAAAAAATGCCAGGAAAASTACCCAGAAAAACGACAAAAATTCTGTTGTCTATGCTTTTTCCCTGAACAGCAAAGTTGTATTAGTTGCTGCCATCCTATATCAGAATGCCATACGCAAAAATTATAATGACTCACACAATCTKGTTTTGGACATTATACATCAACCCAAGTCTAAAAGTCTCATCATCAGGTACTTTTGTAATACACAGCATTGGTCTTAGAACTGTACCCATCAGCAAAAAACAGCAAGAGGAGTAACTGAACATAGCACTTCCCTTCTTGCCTCTAAAGCCTCAAAGACAGCTTGAGGCATGGGCCAACTCTCTAGGAAGCCTGTTCCAGTGTTTGACCACCCTCTCTGTAAAGAAATGCTTCCTAATGTCCAATCTAAGCCTGCCCTGGTGCAGCTTCAAACCACTCCCATGCATCCTATCACTGGATCCCTGGGAGAAGAGATCAGCACCTCCCTTTCCACTTCCCCTTCTCAGGAAGCTGTAGGGAACCATGAGTTCATCCCTCAGCCTGCTTTTCTTCTACCTAGACAAGCCAAAATCTGGAAACAGTCGAGGACTTCAACATCATTCTTAAACTTGGGAGTCCCAGAACTGAGCACAGTACTCAAGATGAGGCCAGATGCTAAATACAGTGCTTGTGTCAATGCCTAACACCAAGTTTGCTTGTTTGCTTTCTCTTTACAGAATCACCAARTATTTTTGTAATTATTATTCACTAAGTACCAGAACAGCAGACAGTACACAATTCATGCACAGAAAAAATGCCAATGGCCTGTCATCCCACAGCTCAGCATCTAGATGGTACTCTGAGGAAGYCAGAGAGAGACTTAATTTGAGAAAATATTCTTTCATGTATTTACAGTATTACACTCTTCGAACTGCAGAATGCAACAAAGTCATAGGAGTATAATTCTGCATGGGCAGGATATTAGGTTTATTTTTATCATGCCTTTTGCCTGATGTCCAATTATGTTGAGGCCCTGCCTCAGTTATGGGGCATGGTTTTCTCCCACAAAATAAAGCTATCTTAGCTCCATGGTGTTGGTAATACCATTAGGTGCTCTGCCTCCTTGTTTCCAGGATCTTTGTCCAAAGCATGAATATTTTTGGCTACTTTAGTCTCACCACTGATGTATATACCATTGTATAGCAACTAGAGCTTGCCATGTGTATGAAAACAAGCCTGTATTCCATGAAAAAAGTAAAAACAAAATATAAAACCCCAAAGACATGAAGAAGTAAATATTATGCTATCTCATCTCCTTCTGTCCTATATTCATTACTAAGCCGCACTTACCAGTAAAATGAACAAAAWGATCACCATCATTATGACCTCATTTACCTGAGCACCCTATCTTTCCCAAGCCATTCCGGCCTTGGAAGAAAGGATTGCAAGAGCCATGCTGTTTAGTAACCTCACCTTGCAATCAGGATTGGCAGTGGCCAGGTCCCAAATGGACAGCATATCTTAGACACTTTTAGATGCACATGGGATATCAATATAGAAATCAGCATAACACAGGGCAAACACTGGATATAGACTATTAAAGGATGACAGGTGTTTTCCTTTTCTGACCTTCATTAATGTACATTAATTTAATAATGGAATTAAAAACTCAGAACTTAACTGAATTAGGGAGTATCTATGCCAAAGAGTTGGGTTCAGTTTTGTTTTAGTAGAAGACGGAGTGATTGTTGTACTCTCAACTGTGATTAACTTTGAAGACAAGCATCTTTCCTCACTTTTTTAAAGGATGTTCATGGTGACACCATAGCTTGATGGCCTATCATGGGTGCCCATCTTCCAGGGACCCTATGCTGGTAAAAGTGAACAGGAATGATCTCAAAAGAAATTAAGTGGAATGATTTCTAATGTCCACTTCCTAACATAGCATTTCACTATATGTGAAGAGCATCAGCAWAGTTATTTTTCTGGCTCTTATGAAATCTAGGGCACTTGTAAAGAAAGACAAAACACCCAAGTGCTGCTCCAGAGAAGTGGAAGATTTATGGCATGCTCTTTCCTCTCTCCCTTCTGCAAGGCTCTCAGTCTTTCCTTTTTCCACCAGTTAAATAAACATCACTGCAAACCCACAGCTGGTCCTTGGAATTGTGTCCCAAGTCACTTGGAAGCAGTCAACAGGACGCAAGCCAGCAAGGTCCCTAGTGCTCCTTGTACAAGCCCTGCTCCAGGGGAAATTGCACTCGGGGCTGGGCAGTTACAAAAGGAAACGCTGGCAGGCAAACTCCCTGGCATTTGGAAAACAACTGGTGTCATCTGAGAGGCTCCGAGGACTTGAAGATGAGGTCTGGATTATTCAGATACAGGTTTTCAGAGGAACGAAAGCATGACTGAAAACAGTAAGCAGGATCGGGCTGAAAGAAAAAGACGGCTGGCGAGGCGAACTGAGATAATGCCGCTCTCTAAGCCCAAGGAGAGTGACCCATGCCACGCTCACAAGCGAGACCACAGCATTCCACTTGTGGGGGACCCGGCCTTGGGAAACTTTCCGCTCCAACACACTGGGGCGGCTCCGGGCTCTGCAGGTCAGCWGGCCGGTACAGCACACAGATGAACGAACTCATCGGCAGGAGCCCAACTCCTCACGGCCGGGCCGAGCGGGCAGCTCCCCACAGAGCTGCCTCCCTCCCGCCCCTGGCACCTGCCACGACGAGGATCCCGACCAGGCAGACGTCTCTCTGTCCCCCTCCTCCCCAAAGTGGAGGTACGAGCCGGGGGGGGATGACAGGAGCAGGCATTCCCACTTGCCTGGGCAGAGCTCGCTCCCGTTAATTGGATCAAGGGCCGGGTGGCGGGGGCGGGGAGACGGGAGCTGCGCCGGAGCTGCCCCGCCGCCGCCATCGGAGCGCCCCAAGCCCGGGCCCGCCCCGCGGGAGCTGCTGGAGGCGGGGCGGGACCCCCTTGTCCCACGGCTGAAATAGGGGGAGGGCTCAGCCCGCGCCTCGCCCAGGTGGCTGCTGCCCGCCGAGCCTCCTGCGGAGCCGCGCCGCCTGCGAGGTAAGCGGCGGGGTCAGTGCTGCGGGCTCCGCTCCCGGGCCTTGTGTCTTTCGGACCTGTGCACCGGGGGGTGCCGGGGGTCTTGGCGGCAGAGCCTGTCCTGGTCCCGGCGCCGCCTTCCCGCGGCGGGCAGCGTGGCTCGGGACGCGTTGGCAACTGCGAGGGAAAAGTTTCCTCATGGAAAGGGGGCGGGTGGGAGAGGCGGTGCCCGGCTGGGCGCTGGCTGCGGGCAGGAGGGGACCGGCAGGCGGCTCGGCGCGGTTTGTCTGGAAGCGCGGCGGAGCCCCCCGGTAGGTGCGGGGAGCGGCAGCACGCGGGGCTTGGAAGGGCGGCGGGGCTGTGGACCCCGGCGGGTTGTTCGCGAAGGGCTGGGGAAGCTCTCGGCAGAGCTTCGCTCCGTTTGCATCCCGAAGCTTCGCCGGGTGCCCCGCGGCCGGCCTCCCGGGGCCAGCCCGCTGCCCCGGCGCTGGGGGCTGCCGAGGCTCCCCCTCCTTCCCTCCGGAGCCCGCGCCTCCGCTCCGCCGCGGGGACAGGGGCCTCTTTGTGCCGGATCCGCGCAGAGCCGCTTCCCACTCTGAAACCGGAGCCGCGGGCGCTGGCGACGCTGTGGAGAGTGGGGAATAAAGCGCCTTCCCAGGACCCCCTGGGGAAAGGGGCCGCGCCGGGGCCCGTGCTCGTAGGGCTGCAGTCCCTTCTCTCGGGGGGTTTCGTGTTGCCGTTCTGTGAGCCGGAGTTCGGCAGACAGGACAGTTCTGTCCTTGTTCGTCCTCTTTCTCTCTTCTGGCTGCCGACAGCAGGGAGGGGAGTGGAGGGCTGGGGTGCTGCCGTGTCACCGGGCCCCTGGCAGGCTGCTGGGGTTACCGTGTCCTCTCCAGCCTAGGGCAGGAGAAAGCTGATAAACAAGGAGCGTATTAGTGGGCCTGAATATCCAGTGCTTGAGAAGGCAGTCTGATTTGTCACTGGGCACGGGAGGAGGGTTCCATGATCTCTGCAAAGCTATCGATAAATGAAGCTAGCGTGGCCCAAACGCGTCAACCTGTTCCACCACTTTCTGTGCCAACTATGTGTTCTTTGCTTGCTTCAGTTCTTCTGGCATGCAGAAGGCTCAGGGCTTGGTGGTGAGGGCGAGGTTAGCTGACCACCATCAGACACTTGTTCCTGGCCCTAGGAAGGAGTCTCGCCTTTTTGTGTGCTCTTTGACCTTCCTTATGGAACTGGTGCTCCGTACTTCCTGAAAATAAAGATGAACTTCTCTCCCCCTTCAAATCAACTGCCGATCTGATTCRCACAAAGGAATTTCTGATATGATGGTAATTGATTGCAGTACAGAGCCCAAGCAGTGCCTCCCACTCCACCCTGGAACTGAAGTGTCACTGAGAAGTTGCTAAGCCTTACAGTGGGTTACTCAGGTAATTCTCAGGGCGGAATGAGAGCAGAATGCACTACTGCAGTGTGTGGGCTAAAATGACAGGGCCCAGATACTTCTTGCTCCAGGTGTGAGCTGGTCTCTGGGTGGAGACCAAAGTGGAGTTCGAAGTGAAGCTTCTCCCCATGGGTTGCATAACTGGGCACATTCTTTCAGGCAAGGATTCACCTTTCCCTGAAATCTGCAATAGKCTTTGTATGAGGAGTCTGCATTGATAGTGATTAGTGTAATTAATGGTATTTCTCTAGAAGTTCCCTAAAATATTTACTAGATTGCCCTTTGAGTTGCAGCTTGGAACAGAATGAATGTGTGAGTCTGATCAGCTGCCTGCTGCCTTCCCTATTTTGTGCCTGGTCTATTGTATTGCTTTATTGGCTTTTTTATTGTTTTTCTTCTGACATGTGTGTTTGAGGTTCTCTAGCTTGCCTGCACTTGTACAARTGAAGTCTGTCTTCTTTTCAGACTGTAAAAAGCAGTAACTTCAATGTGTCAGCTATGTACMGGCCTGAGAACAACTGCCCACCTGGAACTCCATTATCAAATGACAGCAAGTGAATAGAATTGTCTAAGTGGACTGTGCCAAAATGCTGCAGGTCATTGGCAGACTATGTGTGTAACCAAGTCAAAAAAGCCTGAAAATTTTATAGACCCAAATTAATTTCTTCACAGGATAATGACTGGTGCTTTTAGTCATTTTAGGTTTTTGTGGATAACACAAGACCTAGCCTGAATCTTCTGGGCTTTCCCTGCATGATTATGAACTTCCAACAAAAAGAGAATAAATATATACAAGAGAATAAATATACACATGCATATCTCTCTCTCTCTCTATATATATATATATATATATAAGATCAATAATACCATAATGTGACTTACGAGATGCAAAGCTGTAGGAATGCTGTAGTCACCACAACAGGGGTGATATGAGGAGCTATCAGAACTCATGATATCAGCAAGCATGGCAAATACTATATATTCTTTTTTTCTGACCATCTCAAGGGCTGGAGACTATTCAGTTGTTGTTTGAGCTGTTTGGTCTGTGTCATGGCTGGCATCCAGGAATTGAACTGGGGACCTCAAAAGCTAAAAGTATCTGCTTGTAGCCTGAGTGGAAAAAGCTATGCTCTTGATCAGAGAGCATTAATAAACTGCCTCTATTTTTGCCATCAGCTGAGCAGTGATCTGTGAATTTGGGCTGCTCTTGAGAGTTTATGGGGAAATGCCTGAACAATAGGAGAGCTGCTTAAGGAGCTCTTATCTTTTTAAAACAGACTTTGTGATCAGGCAAGCTGTGTTATCACTAGTTGCTCAGTGTGATGGGTGTAGAGGGTACTCTGTGAGAGGCAACTGTGTCAGTCAGATTAAAAAAAAAGCCTTAATACTTTAGTCTAAGACCTTAGTAGATGGGTCAAAAAACAGTGACTACAGTATCTGGAAATTTTCACGAAGAGTTTAGCATTTTGCTCTCTGAAGAATTACAAAAGAACTTTTCCATCCTCGGAGCAGTTAAGAAGCAGTTCAAGCAGTGGCTTTTTGCCACTACCTTGCAACATGGTGACCACTGTAATTTAACATCAAAATGCACTCTGATTGTTTGGGCACAAGTTTTTCCAGCAACACAAAGAAAAATGTCAGTGTGAAGAACCTGGTGCATCCACTGCTGTAATCATGCAGCTTTGTTTCAGTGTCTGGTACATTAGTTTCAAGTTCCTTCAAGCTGAAATGTGGGCTGAAGCTGGGCTCTGCTGTAAGGCAGTAAATGTGACTMGCATCCTAATTACATTTGAGCCTTCACTGGTTTCTGCTTGCTGTGAGTGGGATGATGGGAACAAGCCTTTCAGCCTTGCGATAGTTGGAATTTGTGTGTTAAATCTAGTGATTGTCACTGGGCAGCGTAGTTTGTTGAAAAGGCACATGAGAGATCTCCATGGTACCAGGGGCCTGGATCCAGAGACATTAGGTTTATGTGGGATTTTAGGCTCTTTTAATAGGTGACTGGTAGGACTCTATTGCAGCACATCAGTAAGTTTTTCCAGGCTAGAGGAGTTAGAATTGCTGCAGGCAGCCCATAAGTAACAGTGTTAGCAAGTCTTCAGCCTTCTCAAGTCTTCAGCCTTCAGCCTGTCTCTACTGTAAGTTTGCCCAAGCTATGTCTCTTCTGTTTGCAGGAAGATATGGTACTTGCCTCCTGGGGTCTTAGGGACATAGTGTTTTCAGTCACCTACAGCCCATTTTCTGTTGGTAGTAACTTCCTGCCATCCCTCAGTAAATGCCCCTGCTGCTGAGCCGAACCTCTCMCACTCCTGAGGGTGCTGAGCTGCACCAGCTGCAGTACTGCTGTGCAGAGCTCTGAACTGGCCTTGCTGCCTTTTCTGACAAGGACAAGAAGCTTTTATGGAGGACTGGGAGAAGAGGCAGCATATTTCAATTCTTTATTAATTACAGGTATTTACTTTTGCTTCTTGATGTTTTCAGTCAGCTCTTCYTTGTATGGGGACTGGTGAGCTGTGGAAACTCATGTGAAAGCCTGCTGTTGACTCCAGCAGGCTTGTACCCCAATGCATGCAAACAGCTAGCATTTTGAGCTGCTTCAGGAAGCATTGCAGGGAAATAAAGCCAACTGGATTGCTCTGTTGTGCATGTAGTTTTCTTAAAAAGCCTTCCAGTGTTTTTTCCTCACATGTCAGGTTGAATCCTGAGGACCAGAAACTGAGATCGTTCCTTTGGGCAGTGGACTGAGAAAGCAAATGACATTCCAGTGATGCTGAACAGTTAAAATCTATCCTCTCATGTGTGTGCTTTGGGCTGACTGCCCCATTTGCCTGTGTTCTCCTAAAGTCTTCTGAATAWTATTTGGGATATAAAGTGTTAATAGTACTGTTTTTCAGCTTGAGATCCAAAAATTTAAGAGGCACTACTGATACCAAGGAGCAGATTCTGTGCAGATACTATGAAAGTTGATAAAAGTTGCTCCGTGACATGCAGGGCAATGAACYTCAAGAAGAATGTGTAAAGTATTCATGGCCTTTCAGTAGAAGAATTTCCGCCTTTCAGTWCTTAAAAGGAGCTTATAAAAAAGAGGGAGAGCAACTTTTTACATGGRCAGATGGTGAGTGGACAAGGAGGAATAGTTTTAAACTAGAGGACCGATTTACTCTGAGGATTGCTRGAACAGGCTGCCCASAGAAGTTGTAGATGCCCTATCCGTGGTAGTGCTCRAGGTCAGGTTGGGTGGGGTTTTGAATAACTTGGTCTAGGGGGTAGCATCCCTGCCCATGGAAATGAGCTTGGAACTAGATGATCTTTGTGGTTCCTTCCAACCCAAACCATTCTATGATTCAATTAAGTATGAATCTCCACAGTGCAGGACAGTTCCTAATGGCTTTCCTACTTCAGCCTTGTGTGTATCTCTGGGAAATCTGTCACAAGGGTGTATGAATATTTTTGAGAGTGGAGTACCTACAAAGTGGCTGATCTGCCAAACTCTTCTTGAACCCAGAGATGCTACGAAGGGWATATAAGTTTTTCTCCAGTCCACAGAGCAAATGATGCTTTCTTTTACATCTCTGGT